GCTTGGATTCGACTTGCAGTTTGCTTGATTTCTCGACGCCGCTCCCCGGTGGTCCGCTAAAATGTCCTCCCGAGGTTCCCTCCAATGGGATTATTCTGTTCGCGTCCTTGGCGTTTATCCAGTTATCATTTGCCGTCGACCCTGATGTCGTCCTTCGACACTTGGCAAAGCTTGTTGCTCGAGAAGGCTTGCCTTGGCGACAATATTGAAAACGAGCATGTTCCCAATACTCGTCTTGGGCTAGTCCTCTCATACACTAGAACTACAAGTGTGCTGGACGAGCTGCAGTATAAGGGGGGAGCTCACAGATAGTACCAGCTTTACGACTCTCTCTTCACTTGACAAAGTCCTCGTTAGTCCTTGCCAATTGATCATCATGTCTTGTGTTTCAAATGTTTTCCTCCATTAGCTGCTCTTTTCCCTATGGGGGCCTTAGAGAACGTCATGATCCTCGAAATGTATACTTGCTAATGTGGACAGAGTCAAAATTGCAGAGCTGGCTGCTACTGGAGCGCAAAAGGCTCTGTCCCGGATAGTGCGTCACAAGACTTGACCTATCTCCAAGACACTGGCAGAATTTAGCCAGCTTGGCTACAATCTAGCCAGGAACATTGTGGGAGCGTCCGGAATGGCCACGAATACCACGTAATTCATCGCATGTTCGAGAAACTCTGTTGATCACGCGATATTTGGACTATTACTCACACGATATTCGTCATGCTGTGATCTATTTTCACGATTGACGACTATCCGCTAGCAAGCCTCGATAGGTTATAAAAAATAAAAATAAAAATAATTCGCAAGCGTTAATTTCTCCTCCCAGATCTCCCATAGTCAGTTGAGAGATTCAGGAATCCAATGGCAAGCTAATAGAATACTTGCCCACGAAGCGACTGTATGATCAGGCAATCGTCCCCTTCAATGACACAGAAACTACTGCCCGCATGTCTTTCACTTGCGCCAATAGTTATTTCGTCACCCACATTTAGGGTAACACATATCATAACCGCTACGCTAGCGAGCAAATTCCGGAGCATTTAATGTCTGTCTCCCTTTCAGCTGAGCTCTCCTTGTTTCCTACCTATGGGTCTCACACTAACCTGCGAGCCAGAGTGTGTAGTCAATACCCTTCGGAAAGTGTTCTACCGATTGTGTAACCATGGCCGCCATCTTTCTGGGCGTCGAAAGATTTGTGGCTGATTCGACATCTTGCGATAAGGAAATATTGCTTACGAATAAAGTTGGCTCTTCCGCTTCCCTTCTCCTGATACGAGCATTACGACGAAACTTCCCACCACTGGCTACAAACCAGGTAGGTGCTGCCCGAAATAAACAGAACAGACATTATAAGACCACATAGTTCCTAGCCCTCGCTGTTACAACATAAGGGCGTTAGCCACATCGAGCGAGACAACAGCGCTACGAAGGAGGAGGAAGAAGAGACTCAGTCCGAGGCTGTTTCAACACATCAGCAAGAATAAGGGCATGTTAACAGGGCATAGGTTTGATTTAGTGTCTAACCTGACACTTGCTTGGAGCACTAATAGGGTCCTTCTCTCTGGGCTCTGATAAAAACCTAGGGATCTCACGGTGGTAATGAATAGGCTTGGGTGCTTATTCTCCCTTATCATTTGCTACATTTTATTCTTATGTATTCTTTTATGTCTTTAGCAGAACATTATACATGCTGGAGCCCCGAGCTCAACGTTGTTAACTTAGACTACTAACCTATAGTTATGTCAGGTAGTCGAAGCAGTTACTTGGTGATCGCTTCTCGCAAAGTATCGCTGTCCTATAGCAACACGCCCAAGACGTCCTAGGTATAATAGGCTGTGGTTGCACATCCCATAATTATTGAACATTACATTTGGTTCGTACCTATATGCTCCCTAAACAACGCCGATTCAGTTGGTTGTAGCTGCCGGAACCTTCTGCCTTGCTGGAATCTTCGGTGTTAGCTTTGTACCTTGGAGACATACATCTCCTAAAGGAACAAAGGAGTTCTTCCTACATATAGGAAGCAGAGTAGACTAGACAGATAAGTTTAGTTCTTCATGAATTCAGATACTTATCTTACTGAAGTCTTCTGATTTGTGTTTCTCACTTGCGCACACCTCCCATAGCCTTAAGCCACTCGATAATGGGCACTATAACGCCCTGAAGGTAGCGTATGGGAAGTACCTGCAGGCCTTGGCTGTGTTAACCGATGCAGTACTAGTTGACAAGATCAACTTCTTCGGTGCTATGCAGGGGCCTGTACCGATGCTTTTACAAAAGCAATATACTGGCGCGGGTTCGGAACAACCAGTATCTGGCATATAAGCCGTCGCAAGGCTTTGTATCACCTAGACCTGCAACAGACATATGTTGCTACCCTGAGCCCCAACAGGGTATGGAACCAGAAGCTGGCGAGGCCCCTAGGTAGATACCTGTTACCCGTGTGCTATGTCTGTGGCGGCCCATAGCTAGAACACTTAGTTATGAAGAAAAGTTAAGGCTCTGTACGTTCGATTTTAATGTGCACTGTAGGATATATTAGACATACGTTGACGCTTGACATAGGTACTTATGGAATAAACTTTATGCTCCCCTGCTCGTCTTCCTGGTCTTTGACTTTCCTTCGACATTCAGTTGCCTGTGCTTTCGTAGTTACCGGGGCTCGTCCAACCTTGGATTCTGTAGCTACATCCATCTTTGTAGCTTCCCTAAACCAATGGTTCGCAGCTGTGGGAGTCTTGGCCGCCTCAGGGTTCGTAGTATAAGTGCCCACTATGATCGTTAGTAGGTAGCTACTGCGGTATTATTTACCTGTACGATCTGAGTGCCGATTCTCCTATTCTACAAGTCCCTCATAGCCTGCGCAGTGTGTACTTAAGATACTCTTGCTAGCCAGCCTAGCCTAGTCGATATCTAGCATACCGAGGATGTCCTATTCTTCTGAACCGTTTCTCAATTGCCAATCATCATTATATACCGGTCTGAATCGGTCAGTTCTGAGAAACTTTACTTGATCAGATAGGTTGGAAAGCGTATTGCATATCTGGGCTATACGATACAGGACCAGGCAGATGCATATCTACGGCAGGAAGGAGGAAACTTCCATACTCAACACTTTCCACGGTCTTCCCATGAACATGTTGTCTCCAGCATGTTTCTTTCGAAAGGGCAGTGATAAAGATTGCATACCTAATGTATTCATACTCCCACTACTTCTTGTCTGCAAAGATCTGAATATTTAAATCCTAGGCCACCCCCTAGCCACCTCCTCTTCACCCAAGTTTCAAGAAACACTTAAGCGCTGGATATGTAAAATACATCCAACCATGTCACAAGAGCTTACATCTACCCCATTAATATACTTATCATCATCTCACTCCATTCCTCGAGATGGTTACCAAGCAAGAGAATCAAGACAACCCATTCTGGGCTCGCGGTTAGGATCATATTAATCTTTATTGATAGAGGTTCATCTGAATGGGAAGTCTATGCAGCTCTAATATGGTGGCTTCAAGGATGCCTTGACCCTCCCCTTCCACTGTCCAATCCGCGTCTCTGGGTCAAGAGAGACACCAGCTCGTTACCTCTAGATTTAGGCATGATCCCGCACATGTAATAGCTCCTCAAAAGGAGCGTTGCTAGTGGCATCTCCCACTACAAAACGGCAGATATGCCGCCTTCTTATAGCAGCACTACGGGTAAGTGAGGGTTTCAATGAACCCTCATTTCCCCTACCGATTTTCTAAAGATGACGCTAACTTTCCTCTCCCACAGCTGGAGTATAGCAGATACGCATGGTAGTCGGCGAACTAGGTAAAAAATATCCCTCGACCTTGTAATCTTTCTACTTCTATTAGCAAGGGGTGGATGGTCACTGCCGACCTATTTAACAACCCGTTCAGTCAAGCAGGTTATCGTGCCAGATCAATCTCCCGCCGGCTCATGAGACAAAGAACACAGCTATACAGTTCCACCCGCATGTTCTAGACTCGGCAAGATTTGTACCCGTGACAGGTAACGCCACGCCACGCCGCGCCGCGGACGCCTATGAGCGCAAAGAACGTACGCAAAGCGTAAGCGACTCTGCGTTCCTAAAATATGACAAACTTTCAGCCCTTCTTGGCGAATGTTATAAGAGAATTTGCTAAATCGGCAGTTTTTCTACCCCCGTCTGCTACTACGTCACATCGGCACTCCTCGATCCTTAGTCCTGAACGACCATCACTAACATGGAGTTTCTGCTCACTGGCTTGATTTTTTATAGTAGAAGGATGTATTTGTTAACAGACCTTTGAAGAAAAGAGCATTAATATGCTATGCTCAAAAAGTGGCGCGGCTCTACCAACGACAGGCCAGATCAGAGACACCGAATTATTTCTCACTGAATCTCCAATAAATTGCGCAGGACAACAAGGAGGAGATTCTCGCTTTCCGTGGTAATAAACAACGAGTGATAAACTATGAGGTCGCGTAGCAAGGGAGAAAACCCCTGCCTTGAGACTACCTGCTGTTCAATTCCGCGCGAGAATAATATCCGCGATAGATTCATGAACCGGCCCTGTATCACGAGAACGAACCGCAGCGTCTTGAGCTCCCGTTTCCTAGAGAAGATCGATCGTTCCGTATACTCCCACTAGCTTGGGGCTTGGGATGCTATGCTACCTTGCCATTCTTAACTTCGGTGTTGTTCGTTTTCGTCGTAGACGACCACCACGGCGCTTACCTATCATTTTTTAACCTGCACTGAAGCACGCATCACTGATACGTACACAACTCGTCAGTTATTTTGCGAAAGCGTAGCCTTAAGTGATTCACGATCCTCTGTCATACCATATTTCAGAGTTCCAACAATAACAAAAACTCCAAGTCACCTAAAATGACAATCCAGCTCATAGCTCAACTAGTATACCTTAGACTCCACAGCCATCGAGCCAGACATCATCGTCGTGCATCTAAACGCTCCCGATGTTAGTAGTAACAATATCATCGTCAGCTCACATCGAGCCCGCTTGGCTAAGTGGTATAGCGTGTCACTAGTAGATCCGCTCCTCTAAGGTTCTTCTCAATCTCTAGATTTCTACATGCCATGACAAGATCAGCGGTTCGATTCCGCTAGTGGGCACTACCAAACTTGACTTCTTATTTATTCTCAAATCCGAATTGGTGTAGGGGTTAACATTTGACGCTCTCATTCCATCATGGAAAAGGCGCCGTCAGGCCCGGGGTTCGATTCCCCGATTCGGAGCGTTTAAGATTCAAGTTAATTTTTGCAAATTTTCTTCCTTTTTTTTTCTTTTGGGTTGGGTTTTTTGGTATGAGTTAAGACCGCCTGTGTAGGGTCGTGGCAGATGTAGAGAAAGCTGCCTGCAGAATCTGTTTCATCGTCTGCAAGAAAGTAAACATGATAATTGCTAGGCTATGATTTCTGATATTTTTACTTATATATATATGTTTATGAAAATAAAGAATGTCATCACACGAAATCAAAACGTTATCCATCACAGAAAGGATATAATCTATTAATGAAGCATAATGGATATTCACCAATCTTCCAATGCCAAGTAATCTATCTGTCCAATTTTACGATCTAGACAGAGACCGACACCCTCGGGTGTGCTTACCCATGCCATCTATCATCCACAACTCAGACCCCTTCCTTGTCTGGTTTGAGGACAGCCAGCCGTGCCTTCAATTACTAGGCTCGGCGTCTCGAGTCAAGTCGGTGTTAACGACGATGTCGTTCTTGTCTTTCAAGTGCAAGACAATAGTAACCCCACGCAAATCAATATTGCCATCATTTTCTTCATGCTCCTCATGTCTGGAAGTGAGAATGTCCGAGCTCCGAAGTGAAGCGCGGGTCGACATCTCAGCTTTGAGCTGACGAATCTTAGCCGCCAATACCATGTATCGTTCTTTCTAGGTACTTTCGTGATTTGGAGGAGCGATGGGCCTCAGCGTGGCGATTTCAGGTTGGGACGACTGCTCGATGAAAGATTGTGTCTCGCTGCGCTCAAGTTCTGGGTCAGACTTCTGTGTTGTGGCAGGTGTGATGGTCTTGCTAGATGCTTGCTGAAGAAGGTGAGCTTGTAGGGGTCTAGAGTTGGTGTCTTTTGCATGGCGAGACTGAGTGTCCGGGCGCAAGTGCGTCTCCTGAGCCTCCCATCTTTCAATAAGCGACTGCGTCAGTTCGCCCCGAGCGTTAGAGGTTGACTTTTGGTGTTGAGCTTGTCGAGAATGCGTCTTCCCTACTGAGCTTCCACCATGTTCGTTGTGCGCTTTGGTTGTTGACGAGCCCATACCTATATGGTCTCGACCGGACTCGAAAAGTTTACGTCGGTTTGACACTGAAACGGGGCCACCCGGCGACGGTTTACGTTCTGGAGGCGCCTGGTCAATTCGTTTCTCGAGCACCATATAAGGTGATACTGGTACTTCTGTCACCAAGGAAGACGAATCTTGTATTCCTATTGAAGACGAGTGGCGTTCTTCCTAAGATTTCGGTTTATAACTGCCTCGAGACCGTATGTTGTGCCCAGGGTGAGGATTTGACCAGCTCTCCGTATCTGGATGTTGCGTTACATGCAATGCAGTGGGCGGAGATGGAGCGGCAACCCGGTTTAACTCTTGACTAGAACCAGTATGATACCTTAAAGAACTTGAGTCTTTACTTATGTCAGCATTGTGAATGGAGCTTTTCGATCGAGTGGTCGCACGTCCTTCCCAATTATTGACAGCGATGTCTGAAACGTCTCCCTGGTCATGCTCACGTGTTTCGTGACGCTTCGTGTCGACATGATGTAGTCGAGCAGTGGCATCGGCTACTTCCTTACTTGGATTTCTCAACCATGATGGTGTACTGGCGAATTGACCTTTGGGAAAGTCGTTATCACGCCAAGATAGGTTCGAGTCATTGTGGACTTCCCTCTGCTCACTGTGGACAGCTGCTGGCCCCGATGTGGTATTCATTGCTTCGAATGTAGTCTCATCTTTCCCTATATTGTGTGGCCGAGGACCTGACGCACTAATTGCGACTTTCGACGCCGACGAATGTTGTTGTCTCTCATCATTTAAGCATCCTGGATGACCTGGGTGGCCCGAGGAAACAGTAACTTGAGTCCGCTGAAATGAATCAATTTGGGTAATTGGCTTGGGGTTTATAAGGCGCTCAAGGTATGGGATTGGCTTGATGCTTGCCTTGGAGGCCGCGGCTTCAATGCTTTTCTTATTGCGCTCGTCAATGAGGCCGTAAACAATGTGGCCACCTGCTGAAGAGAGGGGCCTCGCAATGCGGTGATGATTATGGAACCCAGCAGAGTGGTGACGATGAACGATATCGTCTTCCACTGGAAGGTGGGTTGCATCAAAGTCTGACTCGTTAGAAACCTTAGCCTGGGGAGGCTCGTTTGAAGCACTTCCGAGCTCTAAAACCCCCCTACTCTGTTCGCTCTTATGTTTGGAGCAGGTAACACTATGCCGAAACGGATAATGTCCAACGTGGGTTGCTCTGCACATGGCGTCGTCACAAGAGACATCTGGCTTTGTCTCCTGTTCCATGGCCTTTCTATCTCCGAGGATGAATGGGTTCTCTTTTAAGGAGCGTTTAGGTCGGCTTCCCACCCGTTCAGATTGGTCTTCATTCATATTGGAACGATGGCTCATACCTTGAGTAGAAACCCTGGATGACCTCGATTCTTTTCCATGCTCCTCATTCGTCCTTTGCCAGCTACGATCGGCGCGGAGGTTGGATGGCTGATGACAATGCTCTGTACTTACGCGGTCTCGGTTTCTGTTCTCGGACGTCGAGTGCATAGGTGTTACTTCTCGGTGTAGCGTTTGGATGGATTCTAGATTTGACCTAGGAGCAGATATATGTTGGTCCCTTGCGATGGTAGGACTTGGACGGTGCGAAAAGTTGGCATGGGCCTGCGGGGTGCCACTGGACACCTCGCATATGCACCGTTTGCAAAGACTGTGCCCACATGAAGAGCAATAAGTTGGAGCCCAAGTGGCAGTCGAACAGATGTGACAGTATCTACAATAACTTCGGGGGCTGGCATTTCCATCCCCCGATAGAGACAGGTCCTCCACATCCGAAAGCCAGCCAGAGGGTCTGCTAATATTGTACTGCGTGAACATGTCTCTAGCCGACCTTAGCCTCTCAACTTCTGGGGTATTGTGCGAGATGGATGAAACTAATGGTATGTTTCGCACTTCTATAGTGGGAAGCGAGGGATTCGTGAAGGACTGTGCCCTATGGACGGCTTTCGACGAGTGAACATACATTGGATTGCAATGAGTTTCTCCGCTTCTGTTAGAAACATGTCGTCCACTAGCTGACTGAATCTCTGTATGGCCAAATTTATCGCATAGGTGGCCCATAGAAAAGCTCTTCCGACATGACGAAGGCTGTAATTGGACCGGTGGTCGAATTCCGGATCTTGGGGTTGTAAATGCATATGCCTCGTGTTTCTTCCGACCACAGTTGTGGATGACGAACGAGTAGGCGGGACCAGGGGTCCGGAAGTCTGGAACATCATAGTGCGTTGTAGATTTTGCAAAGTGGGAGTGTGGCCGATGCTCTGAACCGATAGATGTGTGCACACGCTCACGTTTGGCGAAGCCCGGGTCCTTGGATGACGAATTAAATCGATTGGAAAGAGCGTGAAACCGGCGTAATCGTGATGTGACGATTCCGGTGTGGATTGAAAGATCGTGGATAGGGCGTTCGCTCTCGTTAGGTTCGTTCATGTCATGACGAGGGCGCACAGACATAGCGAACAATTTCTCGAGGAGGTTCTAATAGAAGCCTAAAGTAGCACATCATCTCCTAGCTGGACTTTACCATAAGGAATACATTTGCAGCGTGAAGAACCTAGGTGCATAATCTGGCTACTTAGCCTGGAGGTAGTTAATAACCATGGAAGAAGAAGGTTGAAGAGTAGATGATTAAAGCGGTTCAGCCGAAACACCAACGGAAAGGGTTAAGTAGCAATCATTTGCAAGTAGGCAACTGCGATGTATATGACAATCAGGCACATTCGCAACCGAGGGAAACCACGGTTGTAGATATCCAGGTGCTCAAAATCGTGTTGATTCGCTCTTGGGAATTATAGGGAATTATTCTGATGTACAAGTTGGCGTGGTAGTGTCCTCTATACAGTCTATTTTAGAACGGCTTGCAAGCTCTCCAGGACCTAATATTGTTAGTAAAACAGAAGACAAGGTAAGGATTGTATGAGTGTCTTTACCTCCAGCTCAATCTTAGCCTCAGCAATGTCCTGCTCACTGCCACTGCCGTTGGCGACCTTTTGCGCCTCGGCGATTTGAGACCTGACAGCTTCGGCGCTGAAGTCCTCCAGAGGGTAACCCTCGACGGCGTTGATGCTCATGACCGAGTTCGGCTGGACGGTAGCAAATCCACCGGAGACTAGTACTAGACTTTAGTGAACTGTCCAACCCTGTCCCCTTCTCATTTGCACATACGGAAAAACTGTTTGCTGGTGCCATTCTCCTCAATGACCTCAATGAGACCTGGCTTCAGTTGCTCAATCGAAGGCACGTGGTTTGCCAGCACGCCCATTTCTCCGGACTCGGCGGGGATGTTGACCTGGACGACGTCTCGCGAGGTATAGATGGACTAGTTGCGGGAATTAGCAAGTCGGTCGGCAACAAGGTTGTAGTTACGAAGACAGGTGGAATGCGGCCGCGACAGTTGTGATATATGGAATACTATTCGAATCTCCGGAGGGACGTCGTACCTGGTGAGGAAGAGACAAGCTAAGCTTGATCTACGCAATGTTAGTGAAGCAACCCATTAGCTACTGGGGATACGAGCCTTGTCGGGGGCAGCGTCAGCGTAGCCTCTTCGCTGCAGAGGCTGGATAGGGAGCCGCATGGGAGCGGGACGAGCTCGCAGAGCTGCGCGGGCGACGCGGAAGGCGTTCATGATGACAGATGGTGTCAATTGAAGAAATGCGTGACGAGCGAAGCTCACGATGGTCGATTACAGCAAATTGAGATGCAATGCTTGGAGAGACGGGATCTCGGAAGATTGAGCGTCTAGCCTGATCTGGTATGATATCAGCACGTGCTTAAACACGTGACTTTAGTACTATAGATAGA